CCCGGGAGCCACAGCTTAGCAATGGCAGGCGGACGCCCCAAAGCAGGGTCTGATGAGGTCAGATGGAAGGAAAGGAGCCGGCGCCTCCCCACGCAGAAGGGCGTACCTGAGCCTCCAGGCTGCGGACCTGGCTGCTGAGGTTCCTGCAGCTGAGCTCCGACTCCTTGGCCTGCAGGATGGTCTGCTGTAGCTCCTTGGCCAGCCGCTCCGACTCAGCCTTGAGCTCCGCGTTCTCCGTCTGCAGCTGCTCCAGCCCTTTCAGCTTCTCGGCCAGGTCCTGGTTCTGCTGCTTCTTGGCATCATAGAAAGTCTTTGCCTTCTCCATCTGGGGGCAAGGAGCAGCAGCACACTGCGGTCAAGCCGTCCTAACTCTCCAGGGTCCTGGGGGAAAGGGAGTGGCACCGAGGGAGCCAGCTCTCCATACCTGAGCCTTGTAGTGCTCTGCAGCCTGCTCCTTCTGGGCCAGCTGCTCCTGCAGCTCTGAGATCTTCTCCTGCTGGCGGCTAGCCTCTTCCTGGAGCTCCCCTTCCAGCACCTATGGTCAGAGGGAGATGGAGAAGACAAGATGGTGCCCAGCTTGGATGATGCCCAGCTCCGTGTCTTCCCCAGCACCCGTCCCAGGGGTTGGCTGCCCCCACACACAGCAGAGGCGAGGGAAGTCAGCCGTCACCTCTCCAGTTCGCTCAAAAGCCCCTGGGATATGGCAGGCCCTGTGCACCCCTCCACCCCATCCACCCAGCACCTCGGCTACCTTCACTTTCTGCTGCTGGGCGCGAGTGGCTCTTTCATGCTGGGCCACTTTTTTGTTCAGCTCCTCTACCTGGAAAGGAAGGGGTCAGTCATACCATTTCCTCGGGGACTGCAGGGCCAGGGGCTTTATGCAAGCCAACCACAGATGCTAATCCACCTCACAGCATCCACGCCTCCCTACTAAAGGGACCCAGCCTCCTCCCTGGTGCCACCCCCTGCCTCATGGGTCAGCTCCAAGGTCTTTGTGATTGCTCCGAGACCTGCTTGGCCCCCTGCTCCACTTGGAGGACTTTCAGGGCCGTCCAAGATGCCAAGTCCTCTACAGTCCCAACCTTCCCCAGCAGAGAATGCAGCCGCTCGCAGAACCCATTCCAGCAACCCCAGTGCTGGAGCTTGCACCCCTGGGGGTGGGTTAGCAGGCTCTGGAAGCTCATAATAGCTTGTTAGTCTTCCTTGGCGCAAGCACTTGATTTACATGAGAAAAGCAGGGTCACGTTAGAAGCAAAGTCCATTAAGCCATGAAGATCAGAGATGAGGAACCATAAAGATCAGAGAGGAGGAACCAGTGCGAGGAATGAGAGGGTTAGATGTAGGGATACTACAGAACAACCCAAGAAATCTTCCCCCATGGCCTGAAGCTCAAGCAGTTGTCTCCATTGCCAATTGTTTGCTATCCAAGAGTCAACATGAGGAGGTGACATACACATACAGGGTCTGAGAGGCAGCTAGAACCAGGCATTAAGAAAGTCTTTGGTACCCTCTGGATAGTCACCCTCACTGGTGTGGCCCAGACCAGCCTCTGGAGAGGTTTGGGGGATTCAGTATTAGAAGTGGAATCTGGTTTGCTCGGCATGGGGTTGACTTCAGATCTCAAGTCGAGAAGCTTGCTGACAAGGCCCAGACTGGGCAGAAAGGGTTGACACATGCACAGCCCTAGAAGGGGACGCCATGCAACAGGGGCAGAAGTCTGAGAAATGTAGGTGAGCTTGGACACTGGGACAGGGGGCTTTAAAGCCATCCAGGGGAGCGTGGTCTTTGTTGACTGCTGGTGCTGGGACCTGCTCTGGACTCAGGCCAGCTGGGCTCCTTTCTGGCTCACGTGTCACTGGAGACAGTATTGTAGTGACATGCAAGGAGGACCCTAGGCCCTCGATTGCAACTGCTAGCTAGCCCCTGCAGCACTGGTGTACACAGGAAGCAGACGCTTGGGGTGGGGTGAGAGGGGTGCTTTTAAAGCCACTTTCCAGAGCAGATCTACACCAAGGTCTCTCACTTGGTCGATGCTCCCTTATCGCTCCTGCTGGTCCAGCTGCTCCTGCAGCTCTGAGATCTTCTCCTGCTGGCGGCTAGCCTCTTCCTGGAGCTCCCCTTCCAGCACCTATGGTCAGAGGGAGATGGAGAAGACAAGATGGTGCCCAGCTTGGATGATGCCCAGCTCCGTGTCTTCCCCAGCACCCGTCCCAGGGGTTGGCTGCCCCCACACACAGCAGAGGCGAGGGAAGTCAGCCGTCACCTCTCCAGTTCGCTCAAAAGCCCCTGGGATATGGCAGGCCCTGTGCACCCCTCCACCCCATCCACCCAGCACCTCGGCTACCTTCACTTTCTGCTGCTGGGCGCGAGTGGCTCTTTCATGCTGGGCCACTTTTTTGTTCAGCTCCTCTACCTGGAAAGGAAGGGGTCAGTCATACCATTTCCTCGGGGACTGCAGGGCCAGGGGCTTTATGCAAGCCAACCACAGATGCTAATCCACCTCACAGCATCCACGCCTCCCTACTAAAGGGACCCAGCCTCCTCCCTGGTGCCACCCCCTGCCTCATGGGTCAGCTCCAAGGTCTTTGTGATTGCTCCGAGACCTGCTTGGCCCCCTGCTCCACTTGGAGGACTTTCAGGGCCGTCCAAGATGCCAAGTCCTCTACAGTCCCAACCTTCCCCAGCAGAGAATGCAGCCGCTCGCAGAACCCATTCCAGCAACCCCAGTGCTGGAGCTTGCACCCCTGGGGGTGGGTTAGCAGGCTCTGGAAGCTCATAATAGCTTGTTAGTCTTCCTTGGCGCAAGCACTTGATTTACATGAGAAAAGCAGGGTCACGTTAGAAGCAAAGTCCATTAAGCCATGAAGATCAGAGATGAGGAACCATAAAGATCAGAGAGGAGGAACCAGTGCGAGGAATGAGAGGGTTAGATGTAGGGATACTACAGAACAACCCAAGAAATCTTCCCCCATGGCCTGAAGCTCAAGCAGTTGTCTCCATTGCCAATTGTTTGCTATCCAAGAGTCAACATGAGGAGGTGACATACACATACAGGGTCTGAGAGGCAGCTAGAACCAGGCATTAAGAAAGTCTTTGGTACCCTCTGGATAGTCACCCTCACTGGTGTGGCCCAGACCAGCCTCTGGAGAGGTTTGGGGGATTCAGTATTAGAAGTGGAATCTGGTTTGCTCGGCATGGGGTTGACTTCAGATCTCAAGTCGAGAAGCTTGCTGACAAGGCCCAGACTGGGCAGAAAGGGTTGACACATGCACAGCCCTAGAAGGGGACGCCATGCAACAGGGGCAGAAGTCTGAGAAATGTAGGTGAGCTTGGACACTGGGACAGGGGGCTTTAAAGCCATCCAGGGGAGCGTGGTCTTTGTTGACTGCTGGTGCTGGGACCTGCTCTGGACTCAGGCCAGCTGGGCTCCTTTCTGGCTCACGTGTCACTGGAGACAGTATTGTAGTGACATGCAAGGAGGACCCTAGGCCCTCGATTGCAACTGCTAGCTAGCCCCTGCAGCACTGGTGTACACAGGAAGCAGACGCTTGGGGTGGGGTGAGAGGGGTGCTTTTAAAGCCACTTTCCAGAGCAGATCTACACCAAGGTCTCTCACTTGGTCGATGCTCCCTTATCAAGTGCCTCGCTGGAACCAGAGCACTCAGCTTAGCATAGCAGCTCAGCTGCAGGAGGGACATCAGCCTTGTTACTGGAGGATGGAGGAAACCCAGAGGGTTGAGGCTCAGCCTCTGGAAGGGTGGGGTGCAAGGAATGTCTGACTAGCGATTAAGAGGGAGGACCAGGCTGGCAGTGCCGGTCCCTCAGATGCTGCCAGGGGCACAAAGCCTGCACAGCTAGCTTCCTGCTGTGCTACTGCAGCGGGGAAGGAGAGAAGGAAAGCCATGCTGACCTGTGTGCCGAGACGTTTCGGCGGCGTTAGGGCAAACACGTGGGACTTGGTGGCTTTGGGTTAGAGACCGTGTGGCCCTGGCACTGCCCCGCCACGGCAGGGTGAGAGCCCAAGCCAGTTACTCGGAGCAAACCAGCACTCGCGGCTCACTCTGGGACCACCCAGAGCCGAGTCCCCATTGCAAACAGTTCACAACAGGAGACGGCAGCTGTGGCGGGGAGCAGCAGCAGCTAGAGTCATGCACTGTCACCGTTTAAGCAGCGGGCACTTCGCATGTGTTACCTGCTTAGCTTGTTCTTTCTGAAATACCTCTAGCTGCTCCACCTGTGTAAACGGGGCAGGCAAGGAAGGCAGAGTGAATACAGCGCGCGCTGGAAACAGATGGCCTATGCTTAAAGGCAGGGAGAGGGAGCTTGGGGAGGGCTCCTGCTCAGCCCTGACTGGGCACTAGGGGAGAGGGAGACCAAGACCATGACCTACATAACACCACTGGCTCTACAATTCACGCATGGAGTTGAGGCAGAGACTCAACCCTGTGCAGTGCTAGCACCTGCTCTGTCATCCCAGTGCCCCTCTCTGAAGTTGCAGCCACACTGGAACGTAAAGGAAGCCTGAGCTACCGCACCACTGGGTCAACTGTGGACAGGGATGCTGTTTTCCAGCCTCCTAACCTGTCCAACTGAGTGTGTGGCAGAAGTACCCAGCCAGGTCACCTATGTCTCTCAAAGGCATCCCCCAAGCAAGGATCAATGTTTTGGCAGGCACAGGAGCACCAGTTCCTGGGGACCATGGAAGCTGCTGTTCCTTTTCCCACCCAAGTAAGTCCTGAATACAGTCAGTTGGGGGTATATTTAAGAGTGGACCCCAATGCTCTCCGGTGCAGTCCTGCCCAGAGGAGCCATACGTCCAAAGCCCTGGAGACCCAGTGGGCAGATGGATCTCCAGTGAATCACAGGAATTAAGGGCTGGAAGGGACCTCGAAAGATCAAGTCCAACCCCCCACCGCTTTGGAAAATGATCTGAGACGTGGTGGGACGCCATACATGACTGGGCTGTATGCATACAGGACTACAGGCTGCACAAGAAGTGGTTTCCCCTTCCCCTCTCGCCCCCCTCCCCTCAGCCAGAGGACGCTCACGTCCGGCTAAACTGCCCCGAGGGAGACTTACCTGAGACACCAGCTTCTGTCTCTCCTCCTGGAATTTCTGCCTCTCCTCAAGGACCTTGACTTTGGCATTCTCGTACTTGTTCGTCATTGCTTCCAGCTTCTTCACGGCTTCTTCAGCCTCCTGCTTGCTCCCAGCCACCAGCTTCCCTGACTCCAGCTTGAGGCGCTCCAGCTCTTGGGCGTGCTTCTCCTTCAGCTGGCTGAGCTCAGCGTCGAACTTCTGCCGCCCATGGCTGGACTTCTCGCTGAGCCCTCTGTTCTCCTCGGCCAACCTGGCATTGGCCTGCTGGAGCACGGCGAGACGCTCCAGGTAGCTGGCGTTCTCCACTTGCAGCCTCTGCACCGCTCGGTCTTGTTCGGAGAACCTCTCTTTCACGCTGCGGACCTCTGCCAATTCCAGCTTGGCCTTGGCGAGCTCTGCTTGCAAGGTGCTGGCAGCTCTCTGCCTCTGCTCCAGCTCTTCCCGGTGCTTGCTTTCCAGAGAGGACTGCTCGACCTGCTGCTGCTGGTACAGACGTTTCATGGGCATGAGCTCCCCAACAAGGGCTTGGGCTTTGGCGAGTTCTTGCTGCAGGGAGGACAAGAGCTGTTCCTTTTGGAAGTACTTCTCCTGCCAGGCCTTCACCTCTGCGCGGAGCTCCTCCTGGCGTTCGCCTTGGGAGTTCAGCTGCCTCTTCAGGGCATCGATGGATGCCTTCTGCTTCTCCGTCTCTTCCTGGTAGTTCTGCACTTCGGCCTTCATGATGGAGCACCTCTCTGCTGCGCGAGAGGCGGCGGTGGC